TAATTTAAGATATATTTTTTGCACAAACTAATTTTGAGTTTAGTCGTTCTGCGAGGAACTATTTTCATATTTTCTAACAACGTGTAACGCGATTGATAACGAGAACTAACAAGATGCGCCGAATAGTTGTGCTTACCAGATTAGACGTATTTGCGGGTTATCTTTGTTCCATCGTCGCGTTTTAACGAGGATCATTAAGCATTCGGCTTCCTCTTTCTACGAGAAAGACGAGAGAGACGAGACGTCTCTCGTACATCCGGTCGGGTGATACGCCGGATCGTCGCGGTTAACGCCAGACTTTTGTTGGTGGAACGTGACTTTTCCTTAATCGAGATACCTCTTCTTCCCTAATTCGCAAGATCGCGCGGCACATCGGAAATTTACTCGCCCCGTGAAAAATTTTCAAGGGAAACGATCGTTGCCGGGCGAAAGAGAATTTATTTGCCCAAAGTGATGTATTTTGCGCAAGGCGAGAGTGTTTTGCATAAAGTGAAAATATTTTGCGCAAAATTACAGCATCGCTCCGGTACTCCGGCCACGGAATTGAATTTCCAAGTGCAACGACAATGCGGGAGATGCGAAGATAAACGCGACCTTTGTGCGAGATAGATTGTAGCATTCGGATGACGTAGTTTTCATGGGACATAAACGAATTAGATGCGCGCCGCGTACGCTGTAATTCGTTTATCCTAAATAGGCGAGGTTTCGTGAGCGGAATTAGGCATTAAAATTATTGCCGACAAGCCTGCCCGCGTTTAACTTAGCATACCACATTTATACAATGACTATATTAATTCGCGATGGACTGTCCGGTGCTAACCAAACGTTTATATTTGTCTCAAATTAGCATAACCGACAAAGTCGATATTGTTAAAGCGAAACGTCACGTTTCTCTTCGCCTGGAAGCTCGGTGTTATTTTTTTGTTAAAATTGCGACATCTTCTTGACACGTATATTTTTGTTTCGGGCTATTACGTGGCTAATTTTGGGATTTGATTGCGAAATACGAATCCCGTATTTTGAATCATAGCACCGTGTAGCTCGCGTCAAGCATTTGTTCTCGAAATGGGTAATACATAGTAGTTAATACCCGAACTAATATTTGTCTGAATCGAGAAATCGATCAAAGATTAATGCTGTACTGTATTGTGAAATAATGCTGTCGTATTAACTCCAACCGGGCTGAAATGCGATTCAAGTGATTCATTTGATCGAGAGGACTAAGAGCCGTGCTAATTAATTATCGAGTCGTCATTGGCAATTTGTGTGTAGTACTTGTATTACCGTATACATAATGGCACTCGATCAAGTATTTGTCAAAATTATCGTTGCGTATACTCGCCACACGAGAGATTTCTGTCCTGCGTATTGAATGTCTCGCCGAGAGACTTCTGAATTGAGCACCGTTAAATTCGCGTCTCCGAATACGGTCGAGTGTCGTAAATAAAATCGTCGAATTTTTGTCGAAAATTGTCAGAAGGCTGGATATTCCCGGCGTTGGTTAATAACCCGACACGGCAATTTGACGGCCCCCGTTATTTCGGGATTTCTTTCCAAAAACGCACGTCCGTCCAGATTTCCATCCGTAACAAATCCCGTTTGCTGCGGTCCTGTCGGTTTTGTTTTTCGCGTAATTAGATTGACGATTTTCCCCGACGAGATCGATAACGCAACGCGCGCGGAGCCTGCGGATTCTGCGGCATCCGGAGTTACAAAATGCCGCGCGAAGAAGGAAATGAGGATAATCAATGGTAATTGATGCGAGGGGGAGGGGAAGGCACAGAGTTAGGCAGGAGGCTGGAAGATAAGAGTAAAGTGGAACGAAAGAGGAATAGGGGGAGGGCGAAAACTGAAAAGCCGGCTTTTAATCCGCGTTCGCGCAGCAGAAAAACTTTTGGATTTAGCTCTATTTAATTATGTCACGGAAATGCATTTGCATTTCCGTGTTTGCCGCAATCAATATCGCTTCTTCTGAATTTCTGCGAGGAGTCTGGTCTGTTATATTTAACATCTGACATTCTTCTTTTATTCTCTTCTAAGTAACTCGCGTTATTTTGATCTTTCGAGCGCTAGGTAGATTATTTAAATTCTGATAAAGTCTGATATTTCTGATAACGCGATATATTTTAAAGAAAAACGAAAATGTGAGATGAGATTTTAAGACTTAGAAAATTTTAGAAAAGATATTAATATGATATTAAATTTCTGAAATTAAGACAATTTTTTTTTCTTCAAATTAGACAGAAACTATCGTTAATACTTAACGCGATGAAAATAGAATATTCTATGTACGGGATGCTCGTTACCATTAAATTGAAAGTGTTTAATTATTTCAAATTCTGATTGCGAAATGTTGTTAAATTATTATTTGAAATTGCCTGTTAATTTAATAATCTCTATAATTATGTACCTAACTTTCTTCTGATATCATAATTTAAATTCTGTATGTCTATTAACCATTTGCGATCGTGTCCTTAATTAGCTTTCATCTGTCTCGTTAAATTTAAAATAATTGACAGATTTATTAAAATAATGAATAATTTCGATTGAATCTTCTTGCGCGCAATAATAGCACAAACTTTTTATATTTTTCATATGTCATCACGACACGAAACGAAATCAAATATTGTCTAAGCTCTAAAAATTGGATGTGACTGTCTGAGTTAGAACAGAAAATATTATTTCCAAATGTATGTTTGTAAAAGTACAGTTTATTAACATTCAGAATTATATTTATTTTTTTTTTTGCGAAATTTTTTATCTCTTGGTTACTCTGTTTTTCTCTCACAGAAATTGGAATAGAATTTTTTTATTAGGTTCACAGAACTTTGTTCACATTCTCCGTCCTTTTGCGCGTCGCAACGAATGAAATATCGAACGTGATATTGACCGCGAATTTGTTTTCATTTCTTTCAAAGCGCACTGGTTGGTTGTGCGTTTTCATTATGATATTTAGCGTCAGATATAATGGAAATATCGCAGGAAGGTGCGCTTGTATAGATCAGAAAAGAATACAAAAAATGAGATGGTGGACGAAGGATGAGTCCACGAATAGACAAAACGAGATATCGCATCTTCAAAAATACGAAAATAAAAATATATATGTTTTATTCGCTGAAATGGATACCAATAATCAACCAAATTGTATTATTTTTATTATTAGCCGTGCGATCATCGCGCTCGTGGTCTGTGTTAGAAAATATGAATTTTTAAAACCACAGATTTAGATTCTCGATATAAACGATATATAAACGACTCAATGTAAATTTAATTAATTTTTTTACAGGATAGACTAAACTATTTGCTAGACGCAAATAAATTTGTACAAATTGAAAATTATATATGGGATTTAAAAAGAGATAAGAAGTTCACCTAGCTTCTAATTCATTTTTTAGATATAACTATGACCTTTTTTCCGAGATCCGAAACGAATCGCTACGTAAGAGAATTACTGACGTCTGTCACTGGAAGAAGAAATTATTACATCACATAACGAGGAATTATCTTAATTATCTTAACTCTTTTGTTCACGTAAATACTTTTATATACTTATACACAATGTGAACTATATATACGTACATGCGTCTATATTAAATAATATTTATAATATTATATTATATTATATTATAATTTATATATTACGCTTTTCTATGCATGGAAGATATATTCTTCTCCTAATATTTAAGTACATAAAGTCCCTTATGAGTAGTGAATGTATTTATCCAATGTTGATTAAGAGCGCGTAACTAAAGAAGCTCGCACAACGCGATAATTACGAATTAAGGACAGTAGGAGATCCGAGCAAGCTAAAACGCGCTTAATCCGTCGGTTTGCAACGAGATCCCGGAGATTTTCTCCGCCGTCCGGCACATCTCGGGAGTGCTACTTGTGGAAACAAGGGCGATTCATTTTAATTCCGTATACGGCCGTGGTCTCGTTGGACTTAATTTACCCGGCGCCCTTGCATTTGCATCGCAAAAAATCCCCGATAATTCGGAGCCGGCGCGAACCCTCGTACATCGTTGGCTCTCCTCGCCGAACGATCGCATCGTCTTCTAATTGGTGTGCCTACTTTTCAGGACGAGATGCACCTGTCCTCTATCTCTCGTCTATTTTTCTTCCTACGCCGCGCGCGGATTTCTCCGCCGGGCGCGGTTGGGTAATGCCGCGGTAATCACCGCGGTAATATGCAAATGCTCTTTCGTGCTTTAAATTACAAATCAAATTTCGCCCGCAAAGAACATTGCGCAGTGTCGCGTAAGAGGACGTGACTCGTGATACGCATGTAATCGCGCCGCGCGCGCGATTATACATGTAGATTAATATTCAAATTTGGCCATTAGGAACTGATGCGTTTGATGTCAACTGCATTATTTGACTATGTAGAGCCTAAGGGCGAATGTACAGTAATGATAGAGATATTCTCCCCTATTAGGCATTCTTTTAAACGAGCGGAGAAGTTGTTGGCTTTGTTAAATCGCATCCTCGTGCTTATTTTTCAATTCTGTGTGAAATTGTTTTGTAAACTTTAGTTTATTTTAATTGCAATAAATTTTAAATTTTAGAATTTTTAAATATTAAACTTTCTGTATATTTTTCATTTTTTTATAAAAAAAATTTACATGAAACATTCCTGAGTAGCTTTGTTTCTGTTTTATAATTTTGTTGCGAGGTATAATTATATTTTATATTTAATAATTATATTTTATAATGAAAATGATTTTTTACCTCTATAATATTTATGATAAATTTTATTTTTTTATTTGTATAAAAATTGTTTAAAAAATGTGTGTTTAAAAAATAAT